CCCTGAAACTGCCGGTAAACCCTAAACCCTAAACGCTTCGCCGAGGTTGCTGCCGTCAGCTACGTGGTATTCCTTGTCGTTCGCCAGCTCACAGCTCGTGACAAGGTGGGGGCTGAAGGGTTGTAAGTACTGCTGATATTTAGGGTTTTGGGGTTGAGTATGTCTTCTGTGTAAGTTTCCCGAACTTGGATTATCCCCCCCTCTACTTGAACACCTATGTGTTAATATTGTAGCTGTGATTTCGAGCTTGGTGACTTCTCTAAGGTCGCAGCAGCCCAATTTTAGCGATGCCTTAAGATCTACACTAAGGCGCGTGGTTGCTGTGGTGAGTACTCAACAGTCCAGGCCCATGTTTGACCACTCGAAAGCGCTATGCTAGTTCTCTCCAATTTGGGGTTCCTTTTAGGGTCCTTTTTGTCAGTGTGCCGCCTTCCTCTGGGTTCTTAATAAAGGACCCAAATTTAGGGAACTACCCAAATCAGGCCTCTCGAAGCTTCAAATCCTCAGCCGAACGCGGCAACCCTGGGTTTGAACTCTAAACCCCTTGGGGGGACCCATGAAGTAGATCCGCTATAGGACGAGGGGGGGGTTCCCTTAAAGGGCTCCTTAATGGGATCTACAAGCATTTGGGGATTATAGGGTTTATAGGGGCTTGGGGAGTAGATCCCTTCATGGGGCTTCCTACAAAATTAGCCCTTCAGTAGCCTGAAATCCCAAACAGGCGGTTCTACTTTCCTAAGATCCGAAGCTCTACATTCTGACGCGGGGTTCTTTAAATTCGGAAGCCCCTTAGCCCCTACAATGGGATTTATGGTACTTTACTATATTGGGGTCATGCAGAATTTTGTCCATCAACAGTATATTCCTTGTTATGGGTAGTGCAGGATTTCTATCATCAGCCGTAGGGTCCGGTTTAGGGTCCTTTTTACAAGGGTGCCGCCTTTCTGTGGGGTTCCTAGGAAGGAACTTGCATTCGGAGAACTAGCCATTTTCTAGATGCTTGACTGTTCTGAAGATAGCATACTATTTTGAGGGTTCCTGATTAGAGTTATAGTATAGTACACCCCAAAACCTTGTTCGAATTATTAATGCCCCTACAGTACCCCCTCCCTGAACCCCTAAACCCTAAACCCTATTCTACGTATTAAGGCCCTTACATTCGGGGTTTGGGAAAATCCCGAAGCCGGAGGCCAAAGCCGAAAAGGCAGAGGAGAAGAAGCGGGAAAAGGCACTTTGGGATCCAGGGTTCGTTTAGGGCTTACTTGAAGGTTCATGGGACTTAGTAACTAGGCTTATAAATAAGGTAACTATACCTATAATTATTTATAACCCCAATTAGGGTACTTATAATTGTACTTATTATGTCCCATGAACCTCCAAGTAGGATTTGGGTTTAGGGTTTAAGGTTCTTTCAGGGCTTAGGATTCGGAGAGTCTTCTTCCTTTACTCTCAAACACCTTAGTTGAATAGGATGTTTTCTTTTCTCAGTATCAGTCTGAAAGCTTCAGTGTTAAACCTCTTATGTTTCCGAATAAATTCCTGTCCTAAGTTCTGGAGTGATTGCGACCCCTGAACCCTAAACTGAAAACTTGACGATCAGTGTTTCGTCTTTCAGGTTTCGTGCCCTTCTCAGGGTTCCCCTTAGCAGCAGGAAGTTAGGGCTCAGGGGCTAAAGCTTAAGGTTTAGGTCTTAAGGTACAGGTTTGGGAGGTTTAGGGTTTAAGGTTAAAGGTTTGCCCTTAAGATTCAGGAGGTTTGGGGTTTAGGGGGGCTTTTCGAGTGCGTGCGTGGCTTTCGGACTTCATAGTGACCTCCGAGCTAAAATCCTTTCTCCGCAGACTCCATTCGGGTGCCTTGTTTTCTGATTACTCGATTCCGAAACGGAGGCCCCGACAGAAAAAGGGCAAAAGTGTAGTACTGGGAGACCTAGATAGAGGATAAGCAGATGGGCAGTTCTCCAAATTAGGGTTCCCTTTTTAGGTGCCCCAAAGAGTACGGCACCCTTAGAAACAGGACCCTAAAAGGGACCCTAATTTAGAGAACTACCCAGATATAGGTTGGGTTACATAGCCGTGAGCGGGACAATCCTGCATACATTCATTCATGCCAACCCTAATCCCTAAACCCTAAACTGAACCCTAAACCCTATTCATACATACATATTATATAGTTGCATGGATCCCTACGGCACCTAGACGGGGAATTCAAAGGGTCTGAGAGGGTGTGAGTATGACTGCAGTAGAGCCAGCCTCTGGCTTGAACGTCTTACGTACCACAACTTATAAGCCGCTATAACCTACTATATACTATGTGGTGTGCGCTATATACCATATACTCTACTAGACCATAATATTATTGTGCTGACAACAAAAAATTGGCTTTCTGCGCGGCCTGACAGCAGCAGGTCTCCAAGAAGAAGTGAGATGCGACACCGCTTGACACAGTTCGTTCTTGGAGGGTCGGGGGGGCTTAGTAAGTAATTGTTTTATAGACTTACAAATATCATAGCCCCAGGTCAATTTTAAATGGTTTTCTAGGGTATGTAAGCGGCTTTCGGTGCAAATAATGAGTGCTGGGTTTAGGATTTAGGACCTAATAGTGGTAAGGTCAACGTGTTTGGGGGTAGACAACACAGTCATCTAGCTTTTCGATTTGGTGTCTCCTTGTTCAAATAAAGCTGAGGAAACAGGAAACATGGAACTTCTGGCGGGGTTACCATGGAACATATTGGTAGACACAAAAGCCCTGAGTGCTTTGAAAACGCTCGAAACTTTCCGAAAAATGCTCCCTCTCTATGCATCGTTTAGAGTTGCTGGTTCAGGCTCCAGGTCTAGTCAGGGTTCAGGGGCCATAAATGGTTCGGGGTTTAGGGTTTAAGGCCTTTGGCCCCGCTTGCAGAAGCTTGGCTGCTAGGCTGTGCGGAAAAAGAGACTGCGGCCCTTGCCAGTGAACTCCTAAACCCTAAACCCTAAACCCCAGCGAGTGCAAGAGGATTCTTCCCCAAGCCCATTGCGGGTGTTTTTGCTAGCTCCCTTCCTTCCCAGACCCCCGGGAGGATCCAAAAAGTAGATCCCTTAATGAGAGTTCCTATAAAGTACCCTTTAGTAGTATAGGGTCCCAGATTAGGGGTTCTACTTTCTGGATCCGCCCGGGGGTCTGGGTTCCCTTCCCCGGGCCTAAGTCACCAAAACCAGTCAAGCAAAACCTAGGTCCCTGCGCCATACGCTCGGCAACCGATGGCATGACGCTGTTTCCCAGTCGATGTGTTTCATGGTCGGGTTTAGCAAGTAGGATGCGACTTGGGTTACAAGCGGGATGAGGCCAACTCTGCCGCCCGCAATACTAACTGATAAGACAGTGTCAGCGCTATACAACAAGAAAGCCCAAGGGATAGTATTGGCAAGAAGCCTCGAAAACCTGAGCCTCATAGACAGCAGTTTAATTCTAATCCTACGGTTCAAGCAGGTTGAAGTTTTAAAGGCTTCAGCAGACAGTAATCTCATGCTTTGCGGTGTAAGAAGGTTCCAGGTTCGGAAACCGTAAGGTAAGGTCCATGGACAGTGTTCCACTGCCTTTACGGATGCAGAAGCTTGACAATGTGAGGCCTCACCAGACAGTGTTGACATGCTGCGATGTGGTCGGGCCCACGTTGGAACAAGACAAGAAATAATTGGAGCTTTGGGTGTGTGCAACACAACACGAAACGTGAGTCCTTACATGGGATTCAGGGTTTTCTGCATCAGGACGCCATTTCGGATTCAGGATTTCTGAGAGTGTTTTCGAAGGTAGTCGAGGGCCCCAGGGTCCCAGCGCAGAAATGTTTGAGTTTGAGGGAAAGGACCTATGCCCCAGTCTAATAAGCCAGTGCCAAGTACCGATAATATACGACCACATGCAGCCAAGACTGTAGTATGCTCTCCCTTTCAGGCTTTGTGCACGAAAGCATGTATGAATCTGAAGTCTGTATATACATTCTCAAACCATGCGGTAGTGCTACGGGATTCTTATGTCAAGTTTAAAGAGGATGAGATCGCTGTTCCCACGAGGTCGGCATGGGTTGCGTGTCCGGCGTTTCGGCGGCTTCCACTGTGGCACGGTGCACATTTTGGAGCAACATCGCATGCTTTCAAAGTCCTGCTGCAGCAGCGTCTTCCTGGACATCCTAGACCTATACTGCTAAGTCCTGGAACCCTACATCATACAACCCTTAGTGTTCCTTCTTCAAGGAACACTTGTAGGAACCCCAAGAGAAGCGTTATTCTAACTTTTGAGGCCCCTACATCAACCCGAGCCATTACATCTCAAATCCCATGCATGGAGACCCTTGAACCGGATAAGTTGCGCATCCCTCCAAGTAGGCTGGTGGTGACAGGTGACGAGCATGCGTAGAGGCCTTCAGCTTTTCGAGCAAAATCGCGTTGTTTCCACAATCCCGCTGTGGTCTGTCTTCCGGACAGTTCCGTGTGTTTTTGCTCTTTCAGCGGAAGTCGTGTTCCCATGGCCCCAGCCTTTGTTTTGCCCTTCGTCGCAGTAGGAGTGGCGAAATCCGCACTGAGTGCTCACCTCACGAAATCACAGTGGAGGCTTCCATATGTCAAAATCTGCAGTCACATGATTCGCAAAAGTTCAGGGGATTTCATCCTAAACCCGCAACTAAAACCCTAACCCGTAGCAGTTCGTCGGGCCTCCACTCCTGACACGATACCCATGCAGTCTGGTTCAACCCACGATGGGATCAACTGCAACTGAACCCATGACACAAGAGGTTCGGACAATATTCCGAAGACGTTGAATCTAGGTTAGCATGCATAGTACAGAATGTGATGTCATACCCAACCTCTTGCATGGCATGGAGAAAGGTCGTTCTGTGATCTTCCATTATGATAAGAACCCTCAGGAAGACTTCCAACAAGCACAGACCCAGCACCAGCGGAAGAAGCCGTGGATCCAAAGCTCTGATGCCTTGCTAGTGGCTTTCTGAGACCTGGCGCTTCGGAGCCATGGTCCAGCGAGACATGTCGGGCGCCACGGAGATGACGATGGAGCAGATGATTGCCATGAAGGAGTCACTTCAGGGCTCCCTTGAAGAAAGCGCCCCGTTATCCCGACTACGTATGACTTAAGGCATATTCCTGAATTTTGGGTCGCGCTCTTGCTGAGAAGGCACTGGGAGTGCCAACTGCACTTTGACTATGGAAGATCCCCCCTTCAGAGGCACGGGACTTTTTTATAAGGACCCTGATCTCAAGAGGCTCCGAAACCATGTTCTCGTAACACCGGAAACATGGGCCCTAACAAATCCTGCATAAAACTTCGAAGAGCCCTCCAGAACTCTGTAACAACCCTTTACACAGCCCTACAAAACCCACCAGCACCCCGAAAACCCTAAACCCCCAAAACCCGTAAAACCCTAAAGCCCTAAGCCCTAAAAACCCTCCCTTGCCCCAAACCCTAAACCCTAAACCCTCCCTGCAAGGAGGGCCTGGAGGCTCAGATCCGTGCCATGGGTCAGCCGGAGGACCCAAAAGCGCAGCTGGATGGCAACCCAGAACACCCCGCGAGGATCTAAGAAGTAGATCCCTGAATGGGGGTTCAGTACCTCTTAGTAGTATAGGGTCCTAAATTGGGGGTTCTACTTTCTGGATCCTCCCGCAGTTCTGGGGAGGGGATCGAAAGAATCGAACCCCCAACTAGGTATCCTACCACTTTCTGGCGTATGGTAAGCAGAGGCCCTGGCGGAAGGATCTGGGGAGCGGACGTTGCTTAGGGCGTGGGGTTCTGTCAAGAGTTCGATCTGTCAGGCTTTAGGTAAGACCCCTGAAGGTTCCCAAAGGTAGATGCCTAGGGTTTAGGGTTTAGGGTTTAGGGTTTAGGGTTAGATGCCTTGCAAATGTATTCTCTAGTAGTTTATGTAAGAGGGGACTTTCAGGTTTAGGGTGGAGCAGGGGTAAAGCAGGGGTTTCGGCACTTGGGTTGCAAGTTTCGATGCCTTTAGGTTGCGAGGCTTCTATGTTCAGGGTTTCACGAGGTCCAAGGTTCAGGGTGTCAAGCGCTTCTACAGTTTGAGTTTCGGTGTTTTCTGTCCGATCTTTGAGCTTCTCTCGTGTTTTGTCCTCGGCGTCGGCCGGAGCTTCTTGCCACGTGGCATGCCTGTCGGGTCTGCAATGCTGGGATCTGTTTTGGATGGAGATCAGAACCCGCACCGTTGAGGATTGTGGATTCCTAGGACCTTGCTTCAAGAGCTCTTGGATTCCATGAGCAAAACGGTGTCTATTCAACAGACCTTCCCTTCTTTCTTCCCTAAACCCTAAACCCTAAACCCTAAACCAAAACCCTAAACCCTAAATCCTAAACCCTAAACCCTAAACGCCGGCATTCCGTAGAAATGCGGTAGTCCTGGGCTCCAGCCATGAAGAACTCGGGAGCTTCACGTCAGGGTCCCAGACCCCCAAGCAGGATCTGGAAAGTAGATCCCCTAATTTGGGACCCTAATTAGTGATTAGGGTTTATAAGCCTTTTTAGGGGTTTATAGGGGTTTAGGGTTTTATGGGTTTGGAAAGTAGATCCCCCAATTTGGGACCCTATACTACCTAAGGCTCTTGATAGGAGCCCCCATTGAGGGATCTACTTTTTGGATCCTCCTTAAGGGGTGTGGGGTTCTTTTGAAGTTTCGGGCTCGACATGCTGAGTGAGGTTGTAGTGGGATCCTGCTTAGGAGGACCCCCAAATCAGTACCCCTAGTCTTTTTGAATTCCAAGGTGTCCTACAGGCAAGTTCACACAAGCAGCTGGCTACAAGGCCGATGTGGAGGAGGAAGCCGGGCACCAACTGCGCAGAAAGCCCTACAGAACCCCAACCCACACTTTGATTGTTGCCGACCTCTTCTCTGGAGCCCTTAAATATATGTTTGCAGGGGGTTCGTCGTACAGTCAAGAGCAAGTCTCCGGTCAAGATGTGTCGGCGAGACCATGGAGTGCCAGCAGGAACCCAGAAAGCTGGAAACTGGCCAGACGCCCCTTGGCATGCGCTGATATCTCCACGTTGAGTTCCGGTGACCTACAACACTCGCCTCCTTGCGACATCACAAGGTACGAAGTTATAGCGAATTTCGTTGCGGTTCGGAAGCTTCCGTCGCTTGAGGCACGAGAGTTTTGTGAAATCCACTTGCGACCGCTACGCTGCCATGGCACGATCACGTGCATACGCTTCCAGGCTCCCTTCGTTCGTCGTCTACAGAAAGGTGCCAAAGTAGATATGTTTGAGTGGGACAAGACCCGTCGCACCTCGGGCGCACAAGAATTCTTCTTTTGCACACCGAGATGTTCTGCTGGTCAACTGCATGAACCAAGGATGGCGGAGGGTCTGCATCGCACTTTGCTCAGCGGTCTTGAAAGCGCCGCGATGCCTCGCTGCGATCTCGCTGCGCTGCCAGGAAGCACCCGTCGATGCGGAGGTGAAGCCAAGAGCTCCGACCATGACAGAGGCACAGAAGAGGCAGAGCCGTGTCGCGGTCTGCTCCACTTGAGGGCATGGGCATCAAGGTTATTCCAAAGTTCAGGTGGGCGACTGCCGAGCCGGTGTGGGATTCGGCGAGTGGAAAATGGGTGGATGCCGCCCCAAAAATAGAAGTCTTGGATTCCGACTCGGACGTGGAGGATGCGGCTTCTTGGCTTCAAGGGCTCAGGAAAGATCTTGTCCGAAAGCTGCTAGAAAGGGACCGGTAACAGAAGGCATTATAGCCAAGCATGGTTCGCCTTTTTCTTTTCATCCATGCTCTTGGACTCCACTTCCCAGGTGGTGAGAAGAGATGCATGGATCATGGTCCCAGCTCTGAACTAGTCCGATTTCTATGTGCTTCTCTCTTATCAGCATCGGAAGCAAGATCCAGCGTTCACGTCTTTATAATCGTGATCAAGAGGTTCACCATCCAGAGATGGGCCTTTTACTTCAAGCAGTACAACCTGGGGACGTACCGGAAACCCTGCTCGGTGGCTCTGACATGCATTCGTTGTCCTAGGGTCCTGGAGCTGTTTTGTCTGCAGTGACGCAACAAGAGGCCAACAAAGTCATGCAAGTCCCTTGAACATTAGCTCAGCAATAGAATACACTGCAGTCTACTACCACATACTGCAATGTTTCTACAATATGCTGCCATGTTGCGTAACGTAATTTCATAACATGTTACGATATACTGCAAGAAGCTAAACGAGACTATAATACACTAAAAATTGTAAACACTGTCGTCTATGGTAGTACAAATTATAGTATGTTGTATTTATTATTGTCTATTGTAGTACATTATGGTGCATTGGTGTGTATCAAAGCATATTGTAGTACATTGTAGCGTATTGTTGATATTACAACCTACTGTGGTACATGATAATTGTTTTTACTCATTAGGTATGTTGTAGATTTCATAGTTTACTGTCGTTTTCATATTCGACTGTAATACGTTATAGTCCACTGTTATACCATGTTGTAGTATATCACAGTACATTTATTGTAGTATATTTTGCTGTGCTGCAGTATACTCCAATACGTTGTAAGATACTACAGTCCATGGTGGAATATTGTAGTACAATTGTAGTGTACCAGCGTATACAGTAGTATACTATATTGAAGTTTGTTGTAGTGTCTTATAATCTAGCAGTATATGAAAGTATATGGTAACACATCATGGTTTATTGCAACAAGCTAGAACATTATACAACATGGTAATATGTATATACCATAATGTTCCACAAAGCTGGCTCCACAATCCAGGAGCGGTCATTGCAGAAGCCGGAGCATGATAATCCTCACAGTGTATATATATATATATATGTACATGCTGTATTGTATTTATACGTATCTACATATGTATATATATATATGTACAGAACCATAACATCCCAGCGAAAAACCCACCGATGTGAGAAGTGGATAGCGAGCCACAGCTTTTCCCGGTCCCCTTCTGCCCAAAGCTAGAACCTAACCGCACATGTCTGACTTGGCCTTCGTCGACAGGCGATCCTGGGGCGAACGAGCCGAAGCCTGTAACTTGAATCCTCTTTGAAAGTGCTTTTGGGATTTTCGTGAAAGCAAACGAAAGAAGCACTGACGGATTGACTGCTGTCTTCCAGCAACCCAAGTACATCTAAGGTCAAGAGGCAGCAGGAACAACAGCTGCCTGGTCAAGCAGCAGTGCCTGCAGCCGGGGCGTTTGCGGTGGAGAAGGCTCCATATCTCACCTTTGAAGCTTACATGCCCAAAGCAGCGTCGCCTCCTAGACTTGTCAGGCACGCTTCGATTTCTATTGGGGCAACACTCCCAATGCATCGCCGCCGCCCTTGCAGAGTCAGCCAATCGTTCAGAGTCATGGACCACAGATTCTACCAGCAGCACATCATGACGCAGCTTTGACCCCTGAAGTTTCTCGGCCACTCCATTTCCAGACTTGTTTAAGTTGTGGGTCTTTGCGGTGAGATCCACACAGCCTTTGTGCTGTCCAGGTGCCGGCCGAACCGGCTCTCATCGCTGCGGTGCGAAGTGGAGATGAAGAGTCGGCAAAGAGCCGAGATCGACACAAGTTCTATATGAAAGCTCAGATTGAGAACTGTCAGCTACGAGGTTCGCGTGCTGCTGCAGACTGGTCACGATCCCAACGTGGTGGATGCTTTGGGCCCTTCGGCAGCACGATGCTGTTTGCCCAAGAGTGTTCTCCTGTGACTTTCCTCAGCAGAAGGTGAACACGGTTTTGCTGTGCTGCCCATGCGCGACGTCAGCTTGCATCATCATCATCATCATCAGCAACAATCTTCACTTTCAGCATCAGGAACCCCCCAGAACCCACACAATCGCCATCAGCATCCTCATGTCGTCAGTCTGCACATCCGACACACTTGGGTTTCGGCTTTGCCATGACCTCGATGATGTGCAGCATGAGACTCACGACAATGATTCTGATGGAGTTCAGGTTGGTAGTGACGATGATCATATGAGCATATGAGCATCCGAACGATGCTTACATAATTTTGGGTGAGGGTAGTGATGATGAAAACGATAATGGAAGCACGCGCTGTGTTACAATGTTGGCAACTATGAGATGCATGGGGGGGCAACTTGAAAAAGATAAGCTCAGTTACTTCCAAGTAGCAGTGGTCATGGTAGTAGTAGTAGTAGTAGTAGTAGTAGTAGTAGTAGTAGTGGTGACAGGAGGAGTCGCTGCTGCAGCCAGACACAGCAGCAGCAGTGGACAAAGACAAGAGGATCAACAGTTGCGACAGAGTCACGATACAGCCACAGCAACAGAAAGTCCTCGCAACAACGATAATCTACTTGTCGAATTGCGAAATCAAGACTCCTGTCCCTGCTCCAGAAACTGCAGGAACAAATTGAGCATCCTACCTCATACATGTGCCCTCATTCGTGTATTTGCCAGATTTACAACGTAACTTTCTTCTAAATCGGAGAACTGATGCAACGACAGGTGAAACACCGCTGTTCGAAGCAGCCTCTGCAGCGAATCTGCGAATTGTAGCTGCACTGCTGCTGCATGGGGCAGCAACGCGCCTGCAGATCGGACCAACGTAGTTCTTGTCATTCTAGCTTCCAAGTGTGCTGACATTGAAGCGGTTCTCGTTGAAGTTTGTCTGGGTGTTAGTTGACTAGATTTCAGCAGGTCCCGTTGTTCCGCAAGGAAGGCATGTACGGCGCAGATGTACAATGCTCCATGCAAAACTGGTGATATCTCATAAAGAAATACATGTCCGAGGATTCTTTGCACCGGACAGAGCATGGTGCCGTTGCTGCAGACATGGCCTCAGTCCCGATACGATTTCACAATTTCCAGTGCGTGCTTTCTGAAATTGAAAGCAGCTGGCGGTGTGGCAACAGGAGAGATATGTGACTTCTTAGCATGCCCCACGCCTCATTTCCTAAGGAGATGATGTCCCTTAGCCCGTTGAGAGCCTGAGGACGTAGCAGAGGATCCAGCAACACGAGCTTTGCTGAGACGATGGGATGGCCAGGACTCGGTTTCAAAGAGAGACTCAACTGAGACTAGAAATTCGAAGCTTCATCCTGGTTGTGGTGTGTCATTCATTGCTGAGGTGACCTCGTCCAAATGTTGCGCAAGCTGACAGAAGCTGACGCCAAATCCGTGGCCTCGCGGTTGAAAATCGAGGTGAGCATGGAGGAGCTGAAGGACTGCATGTCGTCACAAAACTGCTGCATGTCAGCACACACTACGCACCAAGCTTGTAATCCTGGAAGTGCACCTTGACCAGGAGAGCCAACCAGAAACTCTGGCCCAAATTGATGCAGCGAGTCCTGGAGTTCGGTATCGCGTCGTCTACAAGAAGGTCCCTACGCAGCGCAACCGTGGCGCAAAGATGTTTAGCAGAGTGGACATGCACGTCAGGTGGCCGTCCGCAAGGAACCCAACACGAAATCGCAAGCTTGGCGCCAGGTGCCGCAAGGTGAGTTTCTTGTTCGCATAATATTTCCTATATTGCAAGTCTCCCGGTCTGGATGCATGCCAACAGTGGGTTGCAAGTTTCCCCTCTTCTGCCCTTGCACATACACGTCGAGCCTTTTCATTCCGTGACCAGCTCAATGAAACCTTGTCACACATAGGCTTGATTGGACATGTTTCCTAGCAAAATTATGACGGCAGCAGCACGGCACACATTCACAACGTGTTTTAGGCGCGTTACGACCATTTTCGCTGGCAGTTTCTAGGGAAACGTCAAAATCGTAACGGCTTCTACAGTCAAGCTCCTCCCTCTGTAGCTCGTGCTGTTGTTCCCCTCGCCTGATAATTCCATTGGAGACACCAACCCCGAATAAACTTCAGTGGCTAGTCCGAGCCTGTTCCTGCTTACATGCAAATAGAAAGGATCGTGGAGATGTTTGAATGGGACGACAGTCATGCCTGGCGCCGTGTTCGAATCCTTGCGATCCGAGAAGCGGAAGAAGGCGGTGGTATGCAGGACGGTCCTGTTCACGAGGGCAGGGTCTTTCCCTAGACCCTAATTCGTTTCTATCCGGTTACTTCTGCTCGCTGCCAGGAAGTGGACGGTTGGATGTTGATCGAGTCACCAAGTATTGGAGTGCTGCTGCAAGAAGTCAGCGAAGGACAGTGCTGTCATCGTGGTTTCGCAGTGGGTCTGTTCCAATCTTCAGTTTTTTGCTATGCATGAACATGCGAGGGGCACACACAACAGTGCACAAAGTATCAGCAGATCGCAAGCAATTTGAGAGTAAAGAACCACCATATTCGATTGCTTTTGTTGCGGAGGAGATGATTCCGACGACGACTTTGCTGGCTGAGGCGAAAATTCGGTATCATGTTCAGAGCTTGTAACTTGATAGGTATTTCTACGGACTTTTGTATACAATAATATTTTGTAAATTGATTAAATGTCATATTTATATATATATATATGCTTTATATATATATGTATAATTTGAATATTAATACATCTTGAGATATCGATATCACAATAGATATTTAAATTTGCAAAGATTTGATATTAAATTTGCATAATAATTTAGATATATAGAATTTTGGAGTGGACCTGCTGTTTCCAATAGCTGGTGATCGATGATCGATGCAAGTTTCTTTAGCATATAAGCCCCGTAAATGGTCGATTTACTAGCATTCCCGAGACACCATAGCCTAAAATAATTTGAAATAGGAAATCGACGATGGAGTCGTTATTAGGATTTCGTCGTATATTTGGAAAGGAAATAAAGTTTGGAAGAAATTTATGTTTATTTTCTAAGTTTGCTAGAAAGTTGTGGTATATAAATTAAGAAAATATAGAGTGACTTTTAATTATCGGATGGGAGTAAGTCTGAGATAAATTTCTCGGAATTTAGGGTTTCGAAGCATGATAATATAAAAAAATGAATTATTTTATTTCGTTATATAGAAGATATATTTTGATTTCTTTCTAGAAATAGATTCATTATAGAATTAAAATATGAAAATATTTAAATAAAGATATGAAAAAAAATATTTTTGGGGATATATAGAATTAAAAAATATATATTTTTATTATGGAATTTTCGATTTTTAGTGCGATATAAAAATTAAATTAATTATAATAATGATATTTTTTTCTGCTTTAAAATATGCTATATATATAAGGTAAGTATATTTATTATTATAATAATTATATAAAAAATAAATATTCATTTATATAATAATATTATGATTTAAAAAGGAATATATTATTCTAAATAATATTGTT